AAGCGAGTGGTATCAACGCAGAGTACTGTAACCCGAAAATGAATAGCAAGAATGAACAGTTGTCTGTGACGAATGATCTGAAGCCGTTCTTATCATTTTGTGATTTCGATAGCCTATAGTTATTTAAACATGTCCAAACCAGTTGGACTGTTTATTGCTACCGTACACTGTAGGCGACCTAAAGAGCCTCTATCGTGCTCTTCTCTGGAACTCTTGGTGAGTTGATCGAGCTTGGACGCTGGACTGCGGTTACGTTGGACGAGTCAAACGTACGAATTGGTCGAAGCGTTTGATGGCATAATGCGTTTGATGAAGATGACTGACTCACTTTCAGGCCTCTGAGGACGGCGTATCCGCCGAAACGTTAGGCAGCACAATAAATCGTTGCTATAAAAACCTGTCGTGGCAAAGAAGAAATTGGATAATACCCTTAATGCTTTGAATCTCCCCGCCAAACGTTTTTGGAGTTGTGCAATTTGAATTATATCTATTTGAGAAGAATGCCTAGTTGACTTTCATAAGGCCGCCAAGACATATGACTCCGTTTATGTATCCCTTCCTTATTATGAGCAGGAATGCATCCACATTGCGAGAAATTTTTGGCCAACAAAGAGCCGGAAGCCATTTCTCGGCCTTCTATTGACAAACGATGATAGATGGATTTCCTACACTAATGATGAAGGCAATAAAGACTCCCTCCAACGGCCCGGGAAGGGCTTGGCACAAGTGGCTTACAGATAAGCTTTGGTTCGTTTTAAGGGCAAAAAGCAAAGAGGATATAGTTTTTGTGAAGTTTGAGGGGGGGGGGGGGGGAAGAGAGCCTAAAAATGCATGTGAAGGCTACTGCATGACGAAGGCGCAATAGCAGTATCAGCTGAGCGAGCGCAAACGCGGCGCGCGCGTATCCTCACTGCTGTGAGCCGTGCTCCTCCTGCGCTCTGCGGCTAATAAAGCTGCGTTCGCGCCCAAAAATATTACGCCTTCGTCATGCAGCGTCCTATAATTAATAAGTTGTCACTTTCCTCTTTGTTAGTACTATACCGCTCTCATAACCTGCAAAACAACTGCCGCGATGTTTCGTGAACTTCGCGAAAGTCCGCGGAGTTCCCAGAATTCCGCGACATTCACTGAGATCTGGCATGTTCTGAAAGCTGTATTGTACGATGCCGCCCTTATACCGCCTTCTCACATGCTATCATGCAAAAAGTGAAATTTTCGTTGAGGTGGTCTCGAGAAAATTATAGAAACTTACTTTGGTGACTTAGGCATTTTCATTATGCTCGCATTTATCCCAACAATTAAGCAAACGAAACGAAATGAAGGGTAAAAAGGGAGTTGATATGGGAAGTTCAGAAAAAAGCCTTATTGGTTTTGTTTGCAGAAAGATACAAATTAGAAATTGGCATACATAGACGACAAAGTAATATGCCGTCTTTATTTCGAATAGACTTTGTTGGTTTAGATAGTCTTAAGGTCTCTGGATCTGCTCTATGCTGTACACTAGTTTGCATACAAAAATTGTTTATAATCATGTCGATATACAGGCCCTCTGCTGGATCAGGTGAGATTTTGTGCCAGTGAGCGGAGACTTATAGGGTCAAACAATAGAATCTAGGAAAGTTTCCAAAAGAGTTTTTGTTTTAACATCGTCTAAAAAACACGTTGCAGAAGTTTTCGTCCGCTTTTTACAAAACCAAAAAGCAAAAGCAATTCAAATTTTGGCTTCTGTTGGTGTAGGTACCAAAAACACCACTCATTGCAGTTGCACCCAAAAATTGTCTTTCTTTGGACGTGTACTTGGATAATTCAAAAGCTGGTTCAGTTGGAAAAGAATGCCTTCGAAATATCTCTTCCAGTGGCGGACTGACAAGTGGGGGGGGGGGCGTCAATTTCGCTCTGAGAATGAGTTACGAAATTTTTAAAATCTACTTACATGGTTTATAAAAATGCGAGTGACTTGCTTATTCTTGTAAATAATTAGAATAATTTTTATAACTTTTTGAAAATTTAAATTAACTCCGTAAAAATTTATTCGGCTGCGTGGCTCACGCCACGCCCCCTATTTCAAGATTTTAGGGGTTACGGGCCCTCAAAAATTTTGAGAAGCTCCCCAAAAATAATTTCGGAGTGCGTGGCTAACGCCGCACACCTTTACTGACAAAAATTTGCCGCTCCCTTCCCCCCCCCCCCCCGACCCGAGATCCTGGGATCGCCACTGATCTCTTCGGATGTAATCATGTCAAATCCACTGAACTTGAGCTTTTGTAAAGGTTAGTGTGCCTTTGTAGACGTAGATTAAAACATCTGTAAAATATTCTATGGAAGTATCCCGAAA